CAGCAGCCGTGTGTCGGTGTGAACTCAATTTTGTTGCTGATCTACTAGCAATTGTGTGAACACAAACTGGCATCCCTGTCTCTTCTGGTTACGGCGTGCATGCATGCCTGCTTGCAACGCTTGTGAATGCTGTGGGCATGTCAGCTTTCAGTGCGGAGCTCTGCTTATAGCCGCATATTCTGGCGTTCGTCTTTCCCCCCCAGCCTGTCCTACCCATGACTGTAGCTTCTGTAGAGCCGAACACCTCTCTGCTGTGCATGGCCGCAGACCAACGGTGTTGCCCTAATCACGTACCACTCCCAACTCAACCTGAGCCCCATGGTGTCCAAGGACGTGCTGCAAGTCGCCTGGGAGCAGCTAAAGGCCCAGGCCGCGAGCTGGGATCCGCCACTGCCAAGCGACCTGCTCTGGCAGTCACCACAGCAGATCGCCATGCTCGCCTACTTGTGCCAGGAGTGGAGGGGGCGGTTAGGGACGGCTATCACAGCTGCGGAGCTGGTCAAGCAAACCCTGAGAGGAAAGCTCATTCCCGAGGTGGGGCCTGCATAATGCAATCCTGCAAATGGGAACGGGTACAAAGCATGGTCAGGCGCTGGCTGTGAAAGAGTGTGCTGCTTGCGTGTTGAACGGCAGCTGGTGGAGCCAGACGGTTTCGACTAGCAATCCCTGATTGCCGCATGTGATCCCTATTCAGGTGCTGGCGGACATGCGCATGGTACTGCAAGTGCTGGGCCAGCCTACTTCACAGGTGCTGCTCCTGCGCGAGCTGGTGGACACAATGGCTGGAGTGGAGCGCGCCAAGCTCCCGCTGGCGTTCGAGGCGCTGCTGGCCAACTTCACCACCGAGCGAAACGGCAGGCTGTATCTGGATAACCCGCTATTTGCTCAGGTGCTGCAGGTATGGGTGTAATGCCAACACATGCCCATGTACATCAGGAATACCTTCTGAGTAGCGCATGTTTACCAACCAGGAGGCCCTAGAGGCTTGGGCCAATACATGCAGAAGTTGTGTTCAGGTGCACACCTGGAGAAGTGGGCGTTTGAGGCGCTCACCCGGGTGTATGTCGGTTTTCAAGGCATGCAGGGTGCTGCGGTGACACAGAATCGGAACAGTTTCTGGGACACAGGAGACTGGACTGTGCGAGGCTAGAGGAGACGAACTTGTACTGCTGCCCTACACAAAACATACTCGCTACCTGTCATTGCCCGCTCTTCCCTGCTCAGGCGGCCACCACAGAGTCTGGAGAGTTGTTGGACTCAATCACCTCCATCCCATCGCTCAGCTCCACAATGTTCAGGGAGCTGGTTGTGCTCGGCGAGCGCTGCGCGGACAAGGACTTTGACAGCTACGAGGACCTGCACAGCCTCCTGGAAGCCATGGCATCTGCGCTGGCGCTTACACCGGACGGGCTGCTGAAGGCGGACTGGTTCATCCAGGTAAGAATGCCAGTGAAGGGTGTTGGGGCATGTGTGGGGGGTGGGCGAGTTGCTGTACTGCAAGATTGGCGAGTCCGGCCAGGAGACCAACAGCAGAAGGAAAAGGAGGAGGAGGTTAGGAAGCTACAGTTGCAGACAGCGTGAAGGTCACCTGCAAAACACAGGAGGAACGGTAACAAGGCAGCCAGGAAACCGTTGGCAGTGCATGCCGCTGGCTAGGGGAAAAGCGGGGTTGCAAGCAGGGTGGCCAATCAGACAATGAGCAGCCAAGCTTGTGAGGTATTAGGAGGGCGCGTGCAGTGGTCACAGGACTACTGCAGCACCCACGGGTCAACAGTAGTGTTCCTTGCCGTACCGAACTGGGTGGGTGTGGGGATGCAGAGGAGCACCTGCTGCAAGCTTTTTCCCATGTAGAGGGGACCGTTAGAGGGGCCACCAAGACAACCCAGCCGGGCGCCAAGAGAGCAGGCAAACGGAACAAGGGGTCAGAGTGCGAGGCAGCAGTGCAGCACCTGTCGAATTCCAGGCATGACGCTTGTCCAAACAGCTGCAGTCATTGTGTGGACTGCAGCCAGCCAACAGGGCCGGGCCGCAATGGTGCTGGCATGTACACCCCTGCTTCCCATGCAACTGCATTGATCACGGCCCTGGTGCTCCATCTACCTGCAGGTCCGGGACCACCGCTGCAACAGCCTCGGCAGCAAGACCAAATTTGAGCGGGACAACAGGGCTCAGACTGACGTCAAGGTTGGGCTTCGCTGGTTCCACCGGTTGCTGCGCAACATCCTGTGTCACGCCCCCATCCTGGATCATCAGAAGTTCCTGGATGCCTACCCGCCAGAGATGGCTGCGTTTCATCGCAGTGGTCGCATCAGCATGGTGCTGACCAAGACTTACGAAGTGAAGCCCAGCGGCGGCGGCAGCAGCAGCAGCAGCAGCCAGCATCGCGGCAGCAGCGGCACCAGCGGTAAAGGGTGCAGTGTAACGGCTATGGCTAACAAGTGCACACCTGTGCGCCCGGCCTCAGTGGCAGGCTGTGGTCAGCACGGGCCGCTGATTCACACCACCAGCAGGCATGGGGTGTGGGGCCAGGGAGGGCTGCGGGCAGCCACACTTGCACCGCGCCTGCACGTGCAGCACTCACGCTTTCCCCTATCTGCAGCAATAGGGCTGCGGCTACCCTGGTGAGGTTGCCCCTACCGGCCACCGCTGACTTGTGCAGCTGATAGCGGTCCAGGGGGAACCTGGTGTGTGTGAGGGGGGATTGAACTGCCAGTGTCCAGAGTCCGTGTGTGAAAACGGGGGTGGACTGAAGGAGGACTAAGGGGGAGACCGTTTGTTACTCCTGGGCTGCACTGGACGGTGTTCACCTGCCAAATGCAGTATGCTGCAGTATTCCTCCCCCAGGGTGGAGTGACCAAGGCCCGTGGTGAGACCATGGTAGGCAGCAGGGCCAGGAGTTTGGATTCCCTGGCGTGTGGTGGCAGGGGGAAGGCGGCACTGAGTTCGAAGTTTTGGATTTTTCGGATTTACATGGGCGAGAGACAGGTTGGTCGTTGCTTAGCAGCGCTGGCTATCTGAACATGATTGGAGAAGGTGTCATTACCTGGCATATTGCAGTGCACGAAAGGGGCCCACTAGCCGCCTGATAACCTCACTAGTAGCTTCTACTTATTGATCAACGTATGTGTCATCCTGAGGGTGATGGGTGGTGGTTGCCGGTTTACGGAAGTAAGTGGACTAGCACACAGCATGGAAGACCTGGCATTATGAAGAGTTGCGTAGACAGACCTTCTGATTGGCACGCACATGTTCGGCTGTAATGCAGCTAGCTATTCGTGCTATGTTTGCGTCATTAACCTAAATCACGTCATTGTATGTGAAAATACAAGATTACATGCAAACAAAGCTATGATCGCATGTATAATTGGGCTTGCTTAGGGTTATCTTCTGCCTTAGTCATTGGCCTGCAAACCACCTAGTCGTATTCACAGTGACTGTTGTACGATTCCATCAATATTACAGGGTTCTATGTCTCGCTCTCGCCCTAAAAATCAAGCTTTCGTAGCTAGCTGTAAACATCCAGCATGCACACGCCACGGGAGGCTTTGGCAACATCACACGCCACTTTGGCCTACATGTCCCTATCACGCTGGCCGTCGACGCTTCCTCCGACAGCTTTCCAACGCCGCTGAGCATGATGAGCATCGCCCACCCCCAACAGCAGGCAAGCGCCGCTACCCCCTTACAAAACCCTTTTCTTCCACGCGCACACAAACTCAACCAATGTCTCGCTCCACGTCGGCAATAGAACAGCACAACGCCCACCGCAACCGGACATAAAGACACCGCCTGCCACTACCACTACCGCCTGCCACTACCAGCGAGGCGTCCGCGGAGCAGGTGGGGACGGGAGAGGGCAGGGGAAGCAGCAGCGTGGGCTTGGACGGACCCGTGGGTCATACAGCGCTCTTTTTCCCTGGGATGCTTATGTGTTAGCTGGTAGTAATTGGATGGTAGTTTGGCGGTTGGCACACCGAGACCTGCAGTCCAGCGCCCCTGTCATTGCCATGTCATTGTTCCTGGTGTGTTCGGTCTGTCTGTCTGTCTGTCTGTGAGTCAGTTTATCTATCTGTCTGTCTCGTTGCGTGCCGTTGTCTCGGCTGTTGACGTGTTTTGTCGTGTAGCTATTTCCCAAAGTCCCGTCACCTCCCATGAGGCCACATTGGCAAGATGTTTAACGTGCGTTTTTGTTTTAGTTATTTGCATATGTTTGTATGTGCTTCTGCATGAAAAAGTAGCACGGCACGATCGTGAGGTAACGGACAGCGGTATGGAGAATACCCGGGGGGGACCCGCGGACGATATTCCGGAGCTAGGGAGTGTGGCAGGTGAGAGAGAGCGCATGTGTGTGTATGGGATGTGGGTCGGGGCGGGTGCGGGTGCGGGTGTGGGTGCGGGTGTGGGTGCGGGTGCGGGTGTGGGTGCGGGTGTGGGTGCGGGTGCGGGCGCGGGTGCGGGTGCGGGTGCGGGTGTGGGTGTGGGTGTGGGTGCGGGTGCGGGTGTGGGTGCGGGTGCGGGCGCGGGCGCGGGTGCGGGTGGTGGTTGAAGGGGAGATGAAGGAAACCTGGGAACTACAGTCACGAGGTATACGGCGTGGGGCGAAGGGCGGGATGATCCGCTACGGTGGCGAACCAGGTGATATGTACCCCGGGGGAAATTCGCTACGCGATGATGTGAGTGTACACTCATGCGCGTGCGCGTACACCCACTAGGAAGGTTGGGCTGCATGTCACCCCCCGCGTGCATGCAGCCTCCTTAACAGCCTGCATATGCTTGTCCCGCTTTATGCCTGTGCACATGTATGCGTAACGACAACAGAGAGTGTGTGCGTGTATGTATATATGTGTGTTTATCGTGTCTATGTTGTGTTTTGACGTCTTTCTCTGACACGCAGGCGTCATCGGCCCCCACGGGGAGATGGGTGCCGAGTACGGCCTACGTACGCCACGTCAGGCGGGCAGCCGCGGCGCCCCTCCGGAGAAGGAAGGGGTGGCGGTGGCGGCGGCGGCGGGGAAAGTCGGGCGTCGGTCGGCTTAAGGTGAGCTGGGGGTGTGGCGGGGCCCCCCGTGTGGCGGTCGTGATGGCGGCTAGCTAGCTCGGTTGCCGCGTGTGTTGTGGTTTACCTGTGTAAATATGTATGTATGCATGTATGTATGTACCACTTCCACGTGCAAGGAACGTGAGTGCGACAGGGGGCCCCCTGTGGGCGCCGGGAGGCGGGAAGAGGGGGAATGTGGTTGTGAGGTTGGTGCAGAAAACCGCATACACATCTACACGTGACACTCGATACTCGGCATGTCCCGAAAACTGCTCTCCACCCGCCACATAACTCCACCAGGACTAATACCCGCCGGCAGCACCTTTGCACCCGCCATCCCTCCTCCCTCTCGCC